AGAACCATCGCGCGCGCTTCGCGCGCGCTCAGGTTCTAGCAGGCCCCAGACCTTGACGAATTCATTGCTCCACTGAAGTAGTGTACCACAGTCCACGCATGCCAATCTGCATTCCGAAAGGCCTTCGAGGAAAATGGTTGTGTCGGGGGGCGGAGGCCGTATGAATCGGGTTCCCAGAAGACCTTCTGGGAGCATGGGTTTGGGGGCGTCTTGGGGAGCCTGTTGGGGCGTGCCGTCGTCGTCGTCGTCGTAATGTCGTCGTCGCCTATTGGGGCGCGCCGTCGTCGTCGTCGTCGTCGTCGTCGTCGTCGTCGTCGTCGTCGTCGTCGTCGTCGTCGTCGTCGTCGTCGTCGTCGTCGTCGTCGTCGTCGTCGTCGTCGTCGTCGTCGTCGTCGTCGTCGTCGTCGTCGTCGTCGTCGTCGTCGTCGTCGTCGTCGTCGTCGTCGTCGTCGTCGTCGTCGTTGTCGTCGTCGTCGTCGTCGTCGTCGTCGTCGTCGTCGTCGTCATCGTCGTCGTCGTCGTCGTCGTCGTCGTCGTCGCCGTCGTCGTCGTCGTCGTCGTCGTCGTCGTCGTCGTCGTCGATTCAAGAGGGCACTTGGGGCAACTTTGTGCGAAACGATCTGCGGAGGGCCGCGAGAAGGCGATCAGTCATGTTCCCAATCAACTTCCCAGACAGCTCTCCTGTAGCATGATGGTACTTCGAAGCCTCCGGAGACTCGCGGGCCCATGATGAACCATGTCCCCGGAAGGCTTTCTGGGGACATGGTTTGTTGGGGTGTGTTGGGGGGTCTCTTGGGCGTTCCCTGGGGGCCCCTTGGGGGCCTCCGGGAACTCTCGGGCCCATGCTGAATCATGTCCCCGGAAAGTTTTCTGAGGACATGATTTCTTGGGGTGTGTTGGGGGGCCTCTTGGGCGTTCCCTGGGAGCCCCTTGGAGGTCTCTTGGGGCTTCCTGGGGGCCTCTTGGGCGCCTCACGGGGCTTCGTGGGAGCCTCTTGGTGGCCTCCGGGGGCCTACAGGCGGCCTCTAGGGCCAGAGACCTCGCAATATCGGTTGGCGGTCCCCCTCTGGGCCCTCTCTTGGGGAGCTCTTGGGGCAGAGTTGGGTTGTCTGGGTAGCAGCCTCCTGGGCCGTCTTGGCGCCCTCTTCCAGGCCTCGTGGCCCGTCTTGGAGCGATCTGAAGGGCCTCCGAGCGAGGCCGCGAGGGAGCGCTGGGAAGCGGGGGAAGCGAGGACGCCCAAATCCTTCAAAAACCATCGGAAAATTAGATGATCTTGCCTCCCAGTGCCCTCTTGGGGAGCCTCTTGAGTCCGTCCTGGAGCGTAATGGAGTCCTCGTCGGCCGTCTTGAGGGCATCTTGGGCGTCTTCGTGGCCTCTTGGAACCGTCTAGGGCCCTCTCGGGACCGCCATTAGCCTGTCGTGGCCTGCTTCGGGGCGGGCCCGGGCCGCCTCGGCACCCCTCTGGGCCTTCTCTTGGCGCGCTCCTGGGGCACAGTTGGATTGTCTAGGGAGCCTCCCGGGCCGTCTTGGGGTCCTCGTCGGGGCCTCGTGGGCCTTCTTGGAACGATCTGAAGGGCCTCCGAGGCCGTGAGGGAGCGCTGGAAAGCGGGAAAAGCGAGAACGCCAAAATCCAAAACACTTGGAAAACGAGCAAATCTTGCCTTCCAGGGCACTCTTGGGGAGCCTCTTGAGTCCGCCCTGGAGCGTGTTGGAGTCCTCGGCGGCTGTCTTGAGGGTACCTTGGGCGTCTTCGGGGCCTCGTGGCCTGCTTCGGGGCGGGCTCGGGCCGCCTCGGGAGCTCTGGACCCCCCCGCAACCCCCCGGTGGGCACCGATGGGGAGAACAGGCAGCGGCCCGCCCCCCCCCCCGGGCCAACTCCGAGATAGAGAATCATGTTCCCGGGAAGCTTTCCGGGAGCATGATTTGTTCGGCTCTCTAGGAGAGGAGCCTCTGGGGGCTTACCGAGGGGCGGCAAGCCCATTGGAAACATGGTGGGGGCGGTGGGCGGAAGCCCAAGGAATCATGTTCCCGGAAAGCCATCTGGGAGATACGATTTACCGAAGTGTCTTGGGGGCCCGCAGGGGGCTTCCCTGGGGGCCCCTTGACGGCCTATTGGAGCCTCTGGGGGACCTCTTGGGAGCCTTACGGGGCTTCTTGGGAGCCTCTTGATAGCCTCCGGGGGCGTCCTATGAGCCTCTCAGGCTGGAGACCTTGAAATGTCGCGCTCTTCGGGCCCTCTTGGGTCGCTATTAGGGCTCGCTTGGGGCGCTCTCGAGGCCCTCTTGACTTATCTGGGGAGCTTCCTGGGCCGTCTCTGGGCTGTCTTGGGAGCCTCTTCGAGCGTCTTGGAGCGATCTGAAGGGCCTCTGACGCGGTCGGGGACCGTGGGGAGGCGGAACATGGGAGAGCGCAAGAATGCTTCAAAAACCATTGGAAAATGTATGATTTTCGGCTTCTTGGGCCTTTTGGACGGGCGTCTGGAGGCGCTCTTGGGGCGTTTTGGCGGCGTCGTCGGCCGTCCTGAAGCCATATTCGGCGTGTCCGGGGCCTCTTGGGGGCTGTCTTCGGGCGTCTGGGGAGCCCAGGAATCATTTTCCCGGAGAGGCTTCCGGGAACATGATTTCGAACGGGGCCCTCTTGGGCCTCCTGGAGGCCGTTCTGGGGGCCTCCCCCACAAAACGACCCTTTTGGGCCGTCTTGCGTCTCTCTTGGGCTGTCTTGGGGCTCCTCAAACGCGTCTGGGGCACTGCGAAGACGAAGCAAGGGAATATGCTGAAAATGTACGCTTTACTACGGGAACGGGCTGATTTTTGCCTCTTGAAGGCCCTCTTGGGGCGCTCTTCGGCCATCTTCAAGCCATCTCGGGCCCTCTGGGGCCTCGCTGAGGCTGTACTGGGACCCTCTAGGGGACCCTGGGAACTCGGAAATCATGTTCCCGGAGAGGCTTCTGGGAACATGATTTCGAACGGGGCCCTCTTGGGCCTCCCTTAGGCCGTCTTGGGGGCCTCCTGGGCCGGCTTCGGGGCTTCTTGACCTGTCTTGGGGGTTCCGTGAGCCCCACAGGCCGACCCTTTTGGGTCGTCTTGGGCCCTATTGGGTCTCTCTTGAGCTGTGTTGGGGCTCCGCGGGGGCGTCTGGGGCACTGTGAAGACGAAGCCAGCGAGTATACTGAAAGTGTACGTTTTACGACGGGAACGGGCCGATTTTTGCCTCTTGAAGGCCCTCTTGGGGCCCTCTTCGGCCATCTTCAAGCCATCCCGGGCCCTCTGGAGCCTCGCTGAGGCTGTCTTGTGGGCCTCTTGGGCGTCCGGGGAGCCCGGAAGTCATGTTCCCGGAGAGGCTTCGGGGAACATGATGTCGAGCGAGGCCCTCTTGGGCCTCCCTGAGGCCGTCTTGGGGGCCTCCTGGGCCGGCTTCGGGGCCTCTTGGGCCGTCTTGGGGGGTTCCGTGAGCCCCACAGGACGACCCTTTCGGGCCGTCTTGGGCCCTCTTGGGTCTCTCTTGGGCGTGTTGGGGCTCCTCGGGGGCGATCTTGGGGGCCTTCGTGGCAGTCATGGAGCGTCGGGAAGCCTAAAAGGCGGGAACCCGAAAAACCTTAGAAAAACAATTGAAAAATCAATGAATGTTGTCTCTTGGGATCTTCTTTGGGCCCTCCTGGGAGCCTCTTGGGGGTCTCCGGAGTCGTCTTGGAAGCCTTTGAGGCCGTCTCGGAACCATCTTGGGCGTCTTGGAGCGGCCTTTGGGCGTCTCGGGTCCCTCTTGGAGTGTCTTCGGGTTCTCTTGGCGCTTTCTCGTGGCATTTTGCAGGCCTGAGAGCACCCCCAAGGGCCTGCACACCCACATTTAAGGTCGAGGGGCCGGCCCCGGGCCCCTGGCCCCGGTGCGCCGTCGCTTTCTCGTGGCATTTTGCAGGCCTGAGAGCCCCCCCAAGGGCCTGCACACCCACATTTAAGGTCGAGGGGCCAGCCCCGGGCCCCTGGCCCCGGTGCGCCGTTATATGTTTATACTGCTACTACTACTACTACTACTACTACTACTACTACTACTACTACTACTACTACTACTACTACTACGACTAC